TTAGTCTCAAAGTGGGTTCCTCGTCATCGAATTTAAACTCTCTTAATTTTACTGACACTACAACATCCAGAGTCGACTCATTCCAAAGACCAACCACCCTGTTAGAAAAATGAAACTGTTTTAGCTGAAGATGACTCCTACCTTGCCAAAATTTATATTTGTGTCTCCTAAAAAAAAGCTGATTCATCAACACTATCAATTCCCTTTACAATCTTAAACACCTCAATCAGACACCCCCCCCCAACTCTTCTTTTTTAAAAGAAAACAATTTGAGAGATTTCAGCCTCTCCTTGTGTGACAACCACTTCATCCCAGGCACCATTCTAGTAACTCTTCTCTGAACCCTTTCCAACAATCCAATGTCTTTCCTATGGTAAGGAGCCCAAGACTGAACTTAGTATTCCAAATGTTGACTAACCAGTGACCTGTACAATAAAATTATAACCTCTTTAGACTTGTATTCATTATTTCTGTAGATACAACCTAAAATCCTATTTGCCCTACCACTAGCAACAGCACACTGCATGGATGGCTTTAGAGACTGATTGACTATTACACCAAGATCCCTTTCCTTCATAACACTGTCAAAGTTATTCCCATCCAAATTATACTTATAATTCAAATTATAATAACTCGCATGCATTAACTTGCATTTATTATAATTAAAACTGTCTGTCATTTATTTGCCCAACTCACTAAATTATCTAAATCCTTTTGTAAATCAGCAGCATCCTCTTCACAGCTAGCAACACCCAAGACCTTAATATCATAAGCAAATTTAGGTATTTGATTGACTATTCCTTCATCTGTGTTATTGATGTAAATCAAAAAGAGCAAAGGTTCTAAGACTGAGTCCTGAGGTATCTCACTTGTAACATTAATCCAGTTTGACTGAACTCAATTTGTAACAATCCTCTACTTTCTTCCATCCAGCCACTCTTCCATCCAATTTGATAACTTATCCCTCACATCTATAGAAACACTTTTTTTTTATGGGTTTTTTTTGTGCCATTATGTCAGATGCCTTCTGAAAATCCAGGTAAACCAAATCTATATCCTCACCCTCATCTACATAAGCAGTAACCTTTTCAAAGAATGACAAAAGATTTGTAAGGCAAGATTTTCTCTTAGTGAAACCATCTTGACTATCCAATTAAATTCTAAACTTTGTTAAATGACTTTGTAAGTCATCTTTTAACAGGCTTTCCAAAACTTTTCCCACAACTGATGTAAGACTATTGGGTCTATAATTACTGGAACAATTTTTATCACTTCTCTTGAAAAGAGGAATTACATCAGCTAACTTCTGATCCTCTGGTACCTGCCCACTATTTAATGACTGACAAAAAAAAAAAAAACAGTAGTAAGTGGCTCACATATCTAATCTTTAATCTCCTTCAAAACCCTTGGGAAAATATTATCTGGCCAAGGAGCCTTATCATTTTTTAAACTTCCAAATTTTTTTCTTAACCAGCTCAGAATTAATAGTCATCTTGTTTGATCTTGATCTCCTCTTCGAATTCAAATGCCTGCAGTTGAAAGTCAAATTAAGCTTTGCAATTGTCAATCAACAAAACACAGGGCCAGTTTCTGAAAGTAGTGGGACTTGAATTGACATCACCATGTTTCTCACATGGACCACTCCATGTTGTATGCTCAAGAGTGGGGAATAGTAAGGGCCTATTTATCCTTGTCAGTGAAGGAAAAACAAAAAAAAACCTTGTATAAGGAAGACCTGATTTAAAACAGGCTCATAATTTATTTTCAAAAATCAAACCTAAGGTTGTTTTTCATGTATTTTTTTACTTATTGAAATAAGGAATGGGGAAATGGAGAGAGTACAGTTTTTTTCGAAAACCTAGGAAATTCTGGGTAACGATGCTAGTTGACAGTAAATTTAAAATGACATACCCTCCTGGTTGGCCTTTTGAACTCTTCTATTTTATTGTTGATACTCCTAACATTAGAATAATTGTGACCAAGTTTATTCGTGAATTTACTGTGTGTGTAAAATATCTTTAATTGAGATATTTAAAGCTTCCCCAAACATCCTATTACCTAACCTGCTTAAGTGTTGAAAATTTGCATAGTAAAGTGATTTCATCTTATGAAATCAGTTAATGTAGATCTGTAAAATAATAAACTATACTCTGCTGACTTCTGTTGCTGGTAAGGTGTTAGAATCTATTTTTATTGATTTAGAAGATCACCTTATAAAATTGTATTTGATAATTAACAGTACAATTTTTAAAATGTGTGTGATTTGTGTGTCTAACAAAATTTATCCCTATAATTACTAACAGGATCCTTGAACTCTCTCGCATTTACAAACATATTTAGGCACCGAATTCCTTGTGGATCTGTGGCTTTGCTGGTTACAGGATCCTGAGCATGGTGTCATGAATCCAGAAACTTTGAGAAATATGAATAAGTGGCAAAAAAAGTCGGGGAAAATAGTAAGCCCTGCCCCTTTTGTTTTATTTCAGAAGCTGCACACACATGCAAAACATGTTTCTTGGGTATTCCAATCACTTTTTATAATTTAACAATCTTAATCAGTTACTGTTATTTTATTTAGTGTTAATTTTTTAATTCATTATATTTGATAATATGGTATAGCAAATATTCTTTTATAATTAAAAGAGCAAAATTTTATTGACTATATCAAGTTGCAATGTCTTATTTGAAGACTTCTTTGCAGTATCATTGTCTGATGCGTGGTCTTAAATTTTCGTTGTTCTTTATAACTAGATTAAAAGTTAAAATATCATAATTAGGTATAATTTTGAGGAAAATTTCAAATATCAGTTTATTGTATGCTCATGTGCATGCCCTAAAAACCAGGGAAACAATTTTGAAAAACTGAGGCCATCATGTCTAATAATATACAAATTACAAAAAAAGCTTAACAAAAATATCAATATTACAGTTATTTCCACTAATTACTGCTGTAGGCTCCTATACATTGTACATAGAAAATGAATGATTCCATTAAATGTTTTTGGTCTGTGTTATAACAAGCAAAAACAAAACTTCTCAATGAATGGATTTATTATGGATTTAGTTGGCAGTGAACAGTAAAAAACAAGTTTGTAAATTTATGTTAGGAAAATTTTTTGCTATAAAGAGAAAATAGAGTAATTGCTTTTATTTCTGCAGGAGGATAGGAGAAATAAAGGGAATTTGATTTCCATAATGAACAGATTCATAGATAGGATGCATGTAGATAGCTTTCTTTGATCACAGGATTGATGTAAAGCTATCTGTGGTATTAAAATATTAGTGGAGATAAGTATAAACTTTGGAAGTGTAAACCTAGCTCTGTATGTAAGTTAACATGTGGACTTTTGGGTATTGATGATGTATGGGTTCTTGATGGATATACAAGACTGTTTAGTTTAAGAGTTGTTATTTAGTTTATTTAGTAATTTAATATTTAATAATTATTTAGTTTTCATAACAAAAAATGTTAAAAGTTAATTATTTTAAAAGAAATAGTTATGACCGTTTTCGTTAAGTAACTATGTGAGCTGTACGTAGTGTAATTGTTGTACTAGGCTTCTGTAATATTGTTGATGTCATCTTACTTGAAGCTTCTAAGTTTTCTTGTTTGTGTAATATTGTTGTTACTAGATTTTTCTGTTGTATGTTATAAATACATGCAGATATAGAGAAGAAGGAAGTTAGTGAAAGTAAAGGTGAAGTTAAACTGCATGATTGTCAGTTTATCTGTAATGGTCAATTTCTAAAGTGAGTTTCACAGTTTGTATTGTAACAATAGAGTTACAGAAAGATAATTTCTCTTGTCAAAGGGTGTTCTAATGTAATTGAACCTGCCTGTGTAGACTTTGACAAAAATGAGACAATTATTTAAAGCTCTGGACATAACTGTGATATCCAATAGTGTAACGAATTTTTGTTCATATGTTTAACTTGTTTTGAATATATTATTTTAAAACAAGTAGATTGTATGCTGTCCATTTAGCTTTGAAATTTATTGCTAACAAGTCACAGACAACTACTGTTATGAATCGTGGCCTTTATATAAAACCTCACAGTTCTTATAATGTTGTTGGATAAGTATAAATGTCATTGATTACTATTGAAGGTTTTGATGTATGAGAGCCATTGTTTTAAGATATAAAACTGTGACCTCAGTTGATTTAATAGCCTATTATCATCTTGTGTTTTCACATTTTAACATTTCCAGTGTGAAGTTGCAACACAAGAGATTATTGAAGTCATTTTCTGTAAGTTGCATACTTAAGCTTAATAGATAGGGTTGTTTCATTGTTCACAATGGGTATGCTTTTATGTTATTATTTTTACTGCAAAACATTTTAATGTGACCTGGTAGTAAACTAACACACAACAGTTTGTAAGTTCAATGATATTTATTGTAGAAAAAATCATTGTGCTAACAACTTATTTGTTAATTTACTTCTTTATTAGCTAAAGTTGAGTTATTTAATTGATTAATCAAAATTAGTGTTTCTGATTATTACTGTTTTGGATTATATAAATTAGTCTTGTGAATGAATCCAGAGTGTATTCTGTCTTGTTGCTCTTTTGGTATAGAAGCATGAGACAGTATGTCATCCTTATCTCTAATAATTTTTGCAGTTGGTGTGGCAATAGGAGTAGTAAGTTGGGCCGAGTTTTCTTATGGTGTTGCACAATATTTGTATTGAAGTAAGTGTGTCTTGGGCTGGAAAAGGTTGGGGACCTCCCCTTTCCCCTTTCTAAACTGTTAACTAGAGGAAAGGCAACTGCATTTTTTTTTTTTTGCTTGTATTTACCATGTCTTGAGAAACACTGTACTAATCAATTATTCAAATATAATCAATTAATAAACAACTGCTTTTTTCATTGCTTAGTAAATATAATTTTACTAAAAATTAAATGCTTTTATATTCATTCTATCAGAACAAGTATACAAATAAAAAGTCAGTCTGTTTCCTAGATGTGATCTCTAATTACAGTTGACTTTGTTTTTGTTTCGTACAATTTTTCTGTTTGGAAAAGTTATTTCTTAAGATTATTATGCTACATACACCTGGATAACATGTTCATGAGTAGTTGTATGAAAATATAATTTCTTGAGTAGCATATTTACAAGATTGTCAATCAACATTATTATTATTTTTTGCATAGGAAAAAGGGCCAACTATTGTTGGAGATGCTAATTCTGATGTGCAGCTCATGAACTATCTTGGGGCCAAAAAAGTCTTACAACAAGGAAATGATTAGTAAGACTATATCTCTAGTTATTTGCTTTTATTTTGAAGTAATGGTTTTCATTACAAAGGTTAAAACTACAAGTAAATGTCAACAGATTGTAAGATTATATGTATGTTACATTAGCTTGTTACATAAGATAGACAACAAGACTCCATTAGGTCTTATTTTACTGCCCCCCCCAAGTAAATATAGTAAAAATTTAACCCACTTATTGAGAAATTTATAAATTCTTTTAAACTTGAAGGTGCCAACCTCATCTAATACTGACAGCAACTCATTTCATAAGGTAATAAGATTGTAGATAATGAGAGACCAGATGTCAGTTCTATTAGTTATATAAGAATGCTTAGGGTCAGAAAAAAACTAGTATCTTTTTCTGTAAAAAAAATGTGATATGTAGGCATACCATGTATTTTCTACTTTCTAATTTTAATGTAAAGTTTTCCAGAATTATTCATTTATTTCTAGGTATATACAATTTCTGCATAACACATGGTCAAGAAAGTAATTAAGTTGATTTCGTTTTAGCTATCTTTGCTCTTTGTTATGCCCTTATGATGCACCTAAATGAAGGTCAACAGTAGTGTTTTCCAATGGTAGGTCAGATAATTTCTTCAAGTTCCAACCTCCCTTATGTTTGATTTGGAATGATCAGTTGTAGGGATTGTGTTAGTTGCTCTGGTAAGCCTCATATTACCATCCAACTAAGTAACATGAGATTTAAATACCCTGAAATGTCAGCCTGGTCAATTTGCAATTCTAGTAAAGGCAACTGTCCAGCATCCAGTGGAAGTACTCACACACTGTTTGTGACATTAATAAAGATTATTTTCATTGTGTGTCACTTTCCGTCTTAGCACAGACTTAGTTAGTTTTAATGAAATTCAGTATTACTTCACAATTTATCTTGCCAAACCTCTTGTTATATGGTGGACATACTTAATTTACTATTTTGGAAAATCAGTTTATCTGAAAGTACCCCGAAAAGGGAAAAGAAAACATTTAGTAGGTCAGCCATCTCTTAGTCTTCAACAAAAACATTGTCATCACATTCTATTAAGAGCAAAATCTCAATTTCAAATCAGGTAGACTTACTTCTGAAATACTGATAGTCTTTGTTGAGTTGTGTTCATGCTGTTAACAACCATGTGACTCAAAGTTCTGAATGTGCTTTATGCAATGAAGAGAACATGTCAACTTACCCAGAATTTTCCACTCTCTCACCTTCCTCATGATATATTGTATTTCACATGTATCAGGAGAACTTGTGTAAGCTGTGCTTGCCCACCACAATTCAGATTGTCTTGTTAACTCTTCTCACTATGAGTTCTGATGTACATGTTAACTACTGATACAAATGATTCTATCAATATTAGAAATTCTAGCAAGTAGGGAGATTTCTGTGTAGGCATTGTTGGACCATTATTGACCAGTGCATTCATACAGTTAATTCTGATTGACTACTGGTGTCCTTGGCAGGTTTCATGAAGATATAAAAACAAATAAAAAGGTGATGACTGATGATGCCCTGACTGGTATCTTTCCCATCTCTATGAGCACATGCTTGTGTACCATTAGAGATATCTGATGTTGAATGACAGTTTTCATTGGATGTTTCATAACTCCAACCAGGATAGGACACATCTGAATTTTTCTATTTTTGTTGATGTTTCCATTACACTGTCTTTGAGTTGTTGAGTCCCATCCTCAGGACTTTATTCAGTTCTCCTTATAAGCACCCACTGATTTGGCCAGTTTTGTGACTCACACTGGCCTTTTCAAATGTGGATGAAAAAGGCTAAAGCCCAAAAAGTGTGTCCATTCATAATTTTTTACTGGTTCTGTTCCCCTGAGAATTTTTCACTACAGTACAGGACATAGTTTTCTCCCCACCTGTTTATGCTACCACCTTTGTTCTAGGTATTGGCTCTATAGGTAAACACATAACCATTCTAATTGTTCCCATTTTGTATGAACCTAAGGATGTTAAGGTCAAAGAGGTACCATTTTGAGAAGAATGGTCTTATTCTGAGTGTTCTTAGATTGTATTTAGGTAAGGCTGGTCCATTCCACTCATTCTCTCTATAATCCAGTTCTTTGAATTTTTTGTTCTATATTCTGCTTCAACTCTGCTTGATAACACATATAGTGTGGTCTAGGCTGTTATTTATCTGCTGTATAACTTGTGTTTTTTGTATAATTTTAATTTTACATGAATTCCCCTTCTTTTTTGATGGGAATATTCTTGCTATTAGTATTTCAGAGGTAGGTCTATCTTTTTAAAACAGCAACTAAGAAATCTGAATTATGACAGGGAAGCAAAGCTTATGCAAGTTTGTTTTTCTTGAACAGTAAGTTCAGCAAGGTTGGAGAGAGAGTGAGTGGAGAATTCTGGATAAGATGAAGTATGCTTTGTATTGCATCAAGTACATTCTGAACTTTGAAGCACATGCTTGTTGACAGCATGATTTCAAACTCAACAAGGAAAATCTTTCAGTATTTCAGAAATACCTGTTTGAAATTTAATTCTAACCCTTGAAAATGTAAAGTTTATTATTTTGCTTACATTTACTATATACTTAAAAATCCTTTTCATCATTTTTAACATTGTCAGCCAGCTGTTTCTCCTAATGTTTTTTTGATTTCCAAATTTCTTTTTTAACCATATCACTTGCTTTCCTATAGTTCTGTAAATCTTCCATTCTAACCATCAATTTATACCTCTTAACTCAGATTTTCTCCTTTTATCTCCTTAGTAAGCCAATTAAATTTGATTTTCATTTTTTTTTCGTTTTTTTACTCACTAGGAACACATCTATCTTGAATTAAAAGCAATTTGTCTTGAAAATGTTTCCAAATATTTCCCACATCACCTTTTAACTTATTATCTAGGTTATATAATGAGGTGGGCTAAGATAATGTTTAGGGTAAGGATGATTTATATACTAGAAATGGGCTCCATTTAATCAGGCTAGGTGGCATGATGGCTGGGGAACCTCTAAAGAAATTAATTAAAGATGGTTTAAACTAATTTTGCATAATAGTAAGGGATCTTTGGAATTTGGAAAAAAAACGAATTGATAGGGTAGCTAGGACAAGGAGAAGAGTAGAAAAAAGATTTAGCATAACCAGTTAGATAGTATTTATAAAAATAAAGTAACTAGAGTAAGGAAGCACGTTATGCTAATATAATAATAGGTAGGTAAACAACAATTTATAAGCATGAGGAAGAGTTTTATTGATGGTGGAACATACTGTGTTTTGAGAGAACATTGATCTGTCTTTTTCAGTTGGGCTCAACTTTCACCTTGATGCTATGGAATGTAATAATGAAGTTTGAACTTTTTATTTTCATCCTGCATGAAAGTTTTTGTTTTTTTTTCACTTTTGGAGACTCTGACTTCTCTAGAACAACTCCTTTCCTTGAGGTGTATACATGTGCGCCCTCCTCCAATGAAGCTGGCCAGACTAGTGGAATCTTTCTCAGGATCCGTTGTCCACGATTGTGAACTTACCTTCTCCTCTCCTCAAGGATTTGTCTTGGTGGTTAGACTGTGCAAATACCATGATTGTTGTTCCCTTACCCACCCACCCCCAGACTGAATCTCCATCCATTCACAGATGCTACGCTCTTGGGTTGGAATGCATCTCTGAATGACAACATGACTTCTGGTATCTGGGCACTGTGGGAGAGTTCACATCAATGTGCTCAAACTTCTTGCTGTTTGTTGGACATGTTCCCATTTCCTTCTTTTTCTAGTGGATCAGTTGGTTATGATCTACTCCAAAAATTCCACAGCCATTTCCATGGTGTGCTGTGGCTCGGTAGTTGCTCGCAGGATTCCCTCTACAGTTTCTGTGTTCACTGCCAAGTTGTATGCTATTTCTCTTGCTCATCCAGTTTTTCTGGATTCCTGGCCATGTCGGTATTCACGGGAACGAGCTCGCTGACACTGCAGCTAAGTCCGTCTGCTCTGGTGCTGTCACGACCATGCCTGTCCCATACATGGACTACGGTCCTGTCGTCAAGGCGTGGCTTCGTGCCAGTTGGCAGTCGACATGGGTGAGCAATGTCATTTTCCAGATCAAAACTTCTGTTGGTCTTTGGCCGTTTTTCTTCTGTAAGGATTGGAAGGAGGAAGTAGTCCTGGCAAGGCTACGCATTGATCACAGTTTTTAACTCATCATTTCCTTTTATCTGGTATTGACCCACCAATGTGTAGCCATTGTGACACTCAAGTCACAATAGTCCACATTTTACTGTCATGCCGTCGTTACGAACGTGAGTGGGGGCACCATTTTAGACACTTAATTTGTAAGAGTTTACCCCTGATGTTGGACAGTGTCATTGATTATGGTGACACTGTCCGACTAGATTGTATTTTTAATTTTATACACAATATTGGTGTTTTTAATTGTATATAAATCTTTTATCCACATTTTGGACATATTTTGGTTTTAACTCGCTGTATTTTTACATTTTACTCTAATTTACTTTCACTTTTTTTACCGGTTGTTTGGTGCAGATAGCTTTGTTGCTTTGCACCATAAAGCACTAAACAACCAAACATATTTTGCCCATTACTGGAAGAAAAAAAATCATTAAAAAAGCCTTGCTGTCTTGTTTATGCTCCTCTTCTTGTGTGTTTAGTAGAATAACAGACTATACTTTAAGAATCAAGTGTGGTATTCAGGTCCACTGATATCCAACAAATAAGTCTTAGTGTCTGCAAGAATGTAGATTCAGAAAATGTACTGGGGAGAATAACTTAACTTGAACAACTGAGGAGAGAAACAACAGAAATGAGAAAATAAAATTAAATATCTGTTCACACTGATTGTGTTCATGTGGTTTTTTTTTCATCTTATTATATCATACTGTGCTTTCAAATCAAATAATTGGTCCAAGTGCATTATACCATAATTCTAAGCTACATACATCAGTCTATTCCAAGAAACATGGGATAAAACCCATAATCCATACCAATTTGTGTAATTATGTGTATCATCCATTGAGATGCTTCTCCCTTGAGGGATTGGGTACAGGAACAAAGTTACGTGAGCCTCTACTTCTGACATTCGGTTAACAAAGATATAATTATCTACTATGTTTGCAGAAACTGAGTTGGAAATTTAGATATATTCTCCACTAGATATGAATGGGTAAAATTAGTAGTGGTTTCAGCCATTACATCAGTTTTCTAGAAAGAAATATTTCTCTCATAAAATTGTTAGCAAGTGGAATTACTTTGCTAATAATGTAGTTTGTGATGGAAGTTTAGATTTCTTCAAATTATTGTATATAAGTGAGTGAGGTTATATCTTGGATTGGATACCATTTGGTATATAATGTGCTGGAGATGACATTTATCACTGTTATTCTTAAAGGTGGCAAAATTGTTTGTTTGGATTTAGCAAAATAATAGTTAATTTCTTCTTTATTTAGTGAGTTTTAAAATTTCAAAATAAATGGTAAGCTCACAGTCATTGTTACATTCCCTCTTTTTCTGCATTTATCCCAGAATAATTATCATTTTACTTGACTCTTGCACCACAATGTTTAATCCAATAGCTAATGGTTTGGAATTGAACTTCAGACAATAAAAATAGAAAATTATCAAATGCATAAGGAAAATTGATGAAATATAACCTTCTGTATTGTGTTAATTATGGTTATGGCCACCTTAATTTGTTAATACTGAAATTATGGGAAAGCCATTTATTTATTTGTTGACGATTATAAGAACTTGAGTGAAAGTAAAGAAGAATGTAATAACGTCATCCACACTATAACTTCCATATCTAGTACAGATGATAACAGATAGAAAAAGAAAATTCTTTTGAAATTTCAAGTTGTACAAAAAGTTAAGAGGACAAAAATTCCAACTATAAATTGGATGGATTTAGAATTTCGTTATGATTTCATAGCAGTTTATGTGAAAGAATCAAACTTAGTATCAGAGAATCTTAAGATGATATGTACTTGCAGTGTTCTCCTATGGTCTTTTTGCTGGGAATTTGCTTAGTTATTACTTCTGCTTCCCACCTATTTTACATTTATAACTTTATATTTACTCATGGGAAAATTTTCATTGAAAATGATGTGAAAATCAGTAACTTCAAGTTGGTGTTAGATATAGATTTTCTACACAAAATGTTATAATAAAAAATTCCCAACTTAATGTTGTTATAGGCTAACCTAAAACAGAACATGAAATCAATGTAAATGAAATACTTGTTTATAGAAACTGTCAAGAACATAAAAATAGTTAACAAGTAGTTTTAAAAATATTCTTAATTACACTTTGAGACCTCAATCAATGATTAAAAAGATAGAAATATCTTTGGTTAGTGTTATATGTTTTTTTTATTCAGAATGTTGGATTATGACTGTAGATACACTGTATTGTTGTGGACATAAACAAAATATGAGTTGTATCAAATCCCAGGCTTGTATTGAAGATTTGTCATCCCAAAAAGACATTAATCATACTTTTAGTACAGTACATCATACAAACAAAAATTTGGGTCTTTCTGTAATTTTTATCAGTGTTCATTTAATATAAAATTATAAATGTGAAAAAAGATTATAACATAGGCTAATGAACATTAAAATATAGATTTCATTAAGCTCCTTACCATTATTATTATTTTTATTATTACTATAATTGTATTATATAAAAATGATGATGTCATGAGATGTTGTTACTTTTGGATATTCACTATCTGGCTGTATTTGCCAAAATGTTTAAAGTGGGAACTACTGTATGCTTTAATTTAATGTTTTTTACTGCTCTAAATTTTTGTCATGTTAAAGTGTGCAGATTGTATCTTGTATATATGCTATAATTGTTTTTCCAGTTACCAGTACTGTTGTGATCACACTCCTCGTCTTGTACTCAACAAACTGGAAGAGTTAGGCTACCGTGTAGTAGCAATGACAGGAATTGGACAGACCTGCATTTGGACACTTCATAAAGAGAGCTGAAATATCAAACAAGAAGATACTTCTTTTATCATTTTTGTGACCAAGAGATGACATCAAAAGATGGTGGCCCAATAGTAATTTCACACAGAAAATAGTAGCTCTGCAAAAGAAAATGATAAAAAATTCTGGATAAAAGTTTTATCACATTACAAATTAAAGTGTTTTAGCATTACTTTTAATAGTTGAACTTATTAACTTTTATGCAACTTCCTTCTTTTATGAACATTGGATTGAAAGATACAGATAGTATAAAAAATGTTTTTATACAGTGCACTATTGAACTTAAAAACACGAATGTGAGGTTACTATATGGTTACCCCCCCCCAAAAAAAAGCAATTATTTTAGCCTGTTGCATAAATGTTCTGTTTTAGATAACTTTTTAATATTTTTATCATGTTTTTCTTTTATGAATGAAAATAACATGGGACTTGGCAATGTTATTTCTAAAGTTAGTTTATTTTTGTAGGTAATAAAATGCATTTGAAAGAAACTTTGTTGAAAATACAAGTTCTCTATTTCTATAACACCCAAGTATTTAATTCAGTCATCACAACTTTTGTTTTTCACAAGCAAGTTTTAGAATACATTTCAAATTTAAAAATGGATAGAAATAAATAATGTAATATTTTATTTTTTAAGAAGGCCACATATAATTAACATTCCTTAAGCTGTTTTTTTTTTTGGTATTCATACACATGGTAATTCACGGTTTTAAGAAAACTAACAACACACAGAGATGCAGTCCCTTATAGCAAATGTTTCTCCCTCAGGCATTTTCAGAGGATACACCAAAGTAGTTTATTGTTTTAGGTGAAGAAAATGGGTTCAGGGACATTTAGTTGTAGTCAATCTTAAAATGCCAAAGAGAGAATGAAAAATTTAAAGAATTAATTCACTTTGCAGTAAAATTTATGCCTATAAAAGCAGACTAACTCTAAAGGCTTGATGTTTTGGACACTGCTAGCCTTGTCCTCTTATTACCATTTGTAGTGTAGTGATATTGGGTGACATCTAGTAGTCAGTGGAGTGAACTAGAAAAAAGAAATAGATGGAGATTAGCATGAAAACCAATAGGTCTAGACTGTGTATTTATATTACTTTAAAGATGCTAATAAGCTTTATTTTACAAACTTTAAACAAGTGGTTTATGGATAACACAACACCATAACTGACGATGAGGATTAAAAATTCAGAGACAGTACCTTACTAGTATAGCTTGATTCCTCACACATCTGCCTATGAGATTTGTATGCCTTGAACTAGTTTTCATGTGAATTGCACTATTGCATGGTGACATCATCATATGATGATAGCCCTCCACCAATAGGAGGGTGACACATCCTTCATGTGCAGTAACTTCCCAAAAATCACATGCCCTCCTTACTTGGTTCCTCTGCTGTTGGGACAGGCTGCTCTATTAGCTAGTGTACGCTTCCTTCCTGTGTCTCTCTGTCTTCTTCATCGGGCTCCATTTCTTTGCTGAGAGGTCTTCAAGGATGTCCTTGACTCACTGGAGACCCATACAGAGGCAGCCCAGCATCAGTACTCATTGTCTAGTATGCTTCTTATCTTTCTCAACCTCACCATTCCGTTTCTATTTCTAGGCCTGCTGAATCTATGTCTGTCCTTTTCATCCCAGTTTGTTGGCCGCCTTTTACATCCCGCCCTTCCACTTCAGCCTATCTCTCCACTTCTTTTCACCTCTTCCCATTTCCATTTTTCCTCTCTCCACTCTCCTTTATCTTCAGTGTCTTGTGCATGTGAATGTCATCAAGAGGATGTTTACTTCTACACCTGTTTATTCCTCTCATCTTCTTTTGTGGTCTCCAAGAACAGAAGATAGTAAAGTCACTGGAAGTAGAAGTTCGGTCAGAGAAAAGTTAATCGTCATGGGAGTGAAAGGCCTAACGGTTGATATATTAGAGCGAGATTAACAATTTCATAAGAGATAGGGAGAATAAGTTGTCTTATCAAAGGGTGTTCCAAAGTAATTGAACCAGCCCGAGTGGACTTTGACAAATGACGGACGATTATTGGAAATACGAAAAAGGAGCAGATGATTTTTGAAGTACAGGATACAACCACGGTAACTGGTGATAGAAATAGAGAAATATAGTCCGGCTTGTCAACTGAATTCTAAAGTAATTGCATAGGCCTAAGAGGACTTTTGACAAGAAGAAAAACTATATAGTGTTTAAGATATAACTATGACCTCCATAGTGTAAGGAATTTTTGTACATACGTTTAACTTATTCCAAATATATATATATTGAAAACAAGTGGAGTGCATGCTGTTTGTTTATTTTTTTTAGTTTATCGCAAACAAGTCACAGACACCTACCGTAGAAGAATCCTTACCCCAACGCACCAATATGCTTACTTTAATGTATACTACTTAAAAAGTAAGTTTCTGGCACACATTCTTCTTGCCTTATCTAAGAGTGAAGTTGTTTCGAGTGCAAGTGCTTAGGGGGAGTTACTATGCAAGGATGTTGTATCGCCCTCCTACTGGTAGAGGGCTATAGTTGCATGATAGTATCATCATGCATTAGCACAGTTCATGATAAACACATGATTTTTAGTAGGGAGTTAGCTCAAGGCTAGTATCATGCAAGTCTCAAAGGCAGATGCATGAGAGATCAAGCTATTTCATGGGTAGTGGTGAGTATCTATTAGAAATACATTTTCAGGTAAGGAAAATATTAATGTTTCAAATAAAAAGCAAAATAATGACAAATCCAAATCTATCATCACCAGTGCATCTTAACAAACACACTGGGCCTGTATACAGAATATAAAATCTGGATGGAGTCCGTTTCTTTCTATGAGCTTACAAGCTATTTGAATGAAGGAAAAGGTGTGGAGAAATGAATAACATTTCGTTGCCTGGAAACTTCTGTGCAGCAGGGTTTTTCCCCAATGTACCAGAAAAATAGGTACTTTTGAACAAGCGAAAGTAGATTTGAATGCTTACTTTACACTACACAGAAACACTGTGGTAGAAAGAAAGACATAATTTCAGACAAAGAGCACAGTCACCAGATGAATCAATAGATTATTTTTATGAATGTATTAAATGAGTTAGCCAAACCACAAATTTGTGACATTTGAATAGAGAACAGGTAGTAGAAAAGTGTGCTTTCAAAGGCCTACATGTTAAATTACTACAACAAGAAGGCTTTACATTAGAATGTGCTCTCACAGTAGCTCAAATTTCTGAATTTGCACAAGCAGAATTTAAGAAAGTACTTTCAGATTTTCCAGATGAAGCAAAAGATGATCATGTTAATTATACTAGACATTCTGTTAACATAAACAGTTGCAGTAGTAAATGAAACATATGTCAAATAATTCAGCAAGAATGGAAATGGGCAACAAAATGCATTTACAGTAAAAGGACCAGATACTTTGTTCAAGTTTTCAGAAAGAAAAAAAAACAGAGCAACAAACAATCAAAAACAGGGACAAACACAAAACTTGCATGAGCTGTTTATACATCAAATTCAGACTGCTTTAGATTCTAATGAATTTGTCTACTTTATTGGTTCGGAAGTATAAGTGACTGAAAATTAATGGACAAAAGTTCCAAATAATAATTGCCTTTGGCAGTGGGAGAGACTTCATTAGTGAAGAACAGTTTGCAAGTACAAGTGAACTGTTGCCAACAAAGAAACTTTCTTTTATGCATATGCTTAGACATTACCACTACACTGTTTGGAATATTTTAAAGTTGAGTTAATGGATAGTGCATGAAGCACTTGGATGTGTTTGGGCTGTAAAACATTTACGATTGTATCCCTGGGTATGCAAATTTACATTACAAACTGATCACAAGCCCTTGATTCACATGCTTAACCGAGAAAAGTTGATATTACTACCTCCAAGAATTCAACATTTAGACTAAATACTGCAAAATTATGTCTAGAAGAAAGAACACATTGTCGAAAAAACAAATGCAACTGACTCCTTGTCACACCTACCACTGCACCCACTAAATCATGTAAGGAATAGCTGAGGCCTATGAGCATAAGGTACCTTCCATATGTACGAGTGATTTTGAAGTGATATCTCTATATGATCTATAAGTTGGTTCAAAACAAGACCCTGTTATTAAATAAGTTTGCTGAATTGTTGAAACTGGACAATGGACAAACCTCTTACCTGAGAAATTTCAACCTTACCACATAGGTTCAATTGAGCTTTTCACATATGAAGGCTTGCTTCTCTGAGGGAGTTGCATTATCCTATCAGTTACTGCAGCCAATCAAGTCGTGGAACATTTGGTTAGAAAATTGTTGTGCTTATGTGCCGAATTAGCCTTTGAAAGACAACCATCCCCTGTAACTACGTCTTTGGATGAAGCTAGGAATCAATCTTGTTGGTCCAATAAAACATGATTATGTGCTCACAATAATTGACTACTACTCTTTTATATTCTGAGACAATAGTAATTAAAGACATTTCTTTACCTACAGTTGCAGCAAAGTTACAAGAAATCATTGCATGCTTTTGAATTCCATTTGATATAGTGACTGATAATGGCAAACACTTGATCACTCATGCCTTGAACTAATAGCTTGAGTAATAAAGCACATCTGTGCTTCCTTATACTACCCCAAGAGTAATGGCAGCATAGTGTGTTTTCATCGCTATTTGAAGAAAACATTCAAAGCAGCTAAAAGTGAATGAAAGGACTGAAAAGTGGAATTACTTAAGATCCTCTTAGCATATTAATCTACAGCACACCAAGCGATGGGAGAGACACCAGCATGCTTTCTCATCTCATGTGACATCCGACCCAGGCTTCCCAGTTTTAGTCACACAAGTACTGATGTTCTTACCTACATCAGGAAACACCACCAAATGTACAAAGATATGATGAAACAATATGCAGATCAAAACAAAAAAACTAAAGAACATAACCTCAAAATTGGGTACATTGTATTTGGCAAGCTGGATCCTCGGTACAAGAATTTTCACTTTGTTGTTCTTAGAAACATTCAGGAAATTTGCTTGAACTAGTTAACACTGAAGATGGAAGTCTCTTAAGCAGAAATGCTAAATATTTGCATCATATACCAACGTAGCAGGAATATTGTCATCTTTAACCAACACCTGCAGTGCAACCACATTTTCAGTAGATGTTTGAATCCTTCCTTATGACACCATATTCAACACAGACAACCTAGTTGTCAGTATCCCTGTTCCAAGTGCAAGTTGTAATACAAGCAATACTTTTAGAAGTGGAGGGATCATTAAAAGACCAGCTAGACTTAAGGACATGATAATGTAAACTATAACTGGAAATAATCACAATACCATCTAAAGCATTTCACTGTAAATTGTTGTAATAACTAGATATTTGCATTAATCTTATAGTTAATAACAGAAAATAATAAGAAAGAAAGAAAATTTTAGTTAATGTTATATACTGTAACAGGTTACAACAGCCTAAGTTATCAGTTGATAATCAAAAAGAAATAAGGATGT